TTAGGGATGTTCAGATACCAAGTACAGTACTCAGTACATGTACAGATACGTTTCCATCTCCAAGACTAGACTAGAGAAACATGCAAAAGTTAGGAGGCGGCTGTCATTTCTAAGGAGCATATGGGATTTGTGAATCCCTGTATTTATGTATGATTTTTTTAAATAAATATATGTAAGTGATGCGCCTATACCATTTTTTCAAGTACTGATACTTGTCCAAGTACTCACAGATAAAAGTACTGATACATTTTTGTTTAATGTCATGTGACCGTTTTTCTAAAACAATATCGACTAATGATTACAGGACAGTAGTGGAGTGCCAGAACCAGGTCCCAGCTGCAACCGCTGCAACCCTGGTAGTTCTCATGAAAATGCCAAGTATCGGCACTGGTATCTGAACATCCCTAATACATTTAATGATGTGTTAATCCAGGGGCACAACACTCCAGCTGTTGTGGAACTACAAGTCCCATGAGGCATTGCAAAGTTGACCGCCACTGGCATGACCCCCAGAGGCAGAGGCATAATGGGATTTGTTGCTTCAGCATAGCTGGAGCGCCGAGCTTGCCTTCCTCTGTATTAATGAATGAATACAGTGCTGCATTCATTTGTGTCTTTTATATCTGCCTAGAGTTCAGCTTTAAATTTGTCAAATCATCTCATTTTAAAATAAGCCTATCACAAACCTGGGCAATTTAAACTGAGCATATTACAAACATTAAAAAAAGCAACAACAAAACGTTTTTTAGGGCCCATTCACACTTGTGCATCATGGCAATGTACATTAACTGCCAACACACCTGCTCTAAGGGCAGTGCCAGTCATTGCGAATGGCACCCCAATCCATTGTACAGCAGAGCACAATGCTTCCTGGCGCTTTGCGTTTTGAAAAATGGTAATGCGCATTTTTCATCCGTTGTGCTTTGGCAGCCTATTCATAATGAACAGGCTGCCTGAACGTAACATGTGTTAACTTATGCTAAAACATGTTACCACGTTTGCAACGAATCGCTCCACTGTGATTGGGCCCTCACAGGAAAGTGAAGATTTCCATAGAACTTCAGCTGCCTATGTCTCTGGATCTGCTAATAGTTTTGACATGCAATTTTCACTGCAGGTAGACTCTGCTACTCATTTTTTCACCATATGCTATAAAGTCCCAGATTTGCCACAGGTTTATATTACTGAAGAATGATTGTGATCTACTCTTTGCCCTTCACAAAATATTCTAATAATGCTGAAACCTTTTTAATAAAATCCTCCTTTCTCTGTCTTTAGATTGCTGAAAAACTAAAGCAGGCACTAGGCAGTTTCCCTGTCATGTAAGAAATCCAATGCCTGGATCTAAAGGATAATCGGAAGTGCCTTCCTATGAATTTTAGTGGACATTGTGAAGTCGCCCCTTGGACACTGCACCCCGGAGGAGAAACTTGGAACTGCACTTCTGCAAATGTGCTTGCATCAAGTTAGATTTGAGATCTTTCCCAGAAAGGCTGCTTTTCCAGTGCACTTAAAATATCACAGCTTATGAAATGCATGTTCATTTTCAGATAAAAGCAAAACGTCATCTACAGCATCCAGCATCACCTCCTTTTTACTTCGGCCTTTTCACTGCAAGGAGCAAAGGTGCTATAGTCCCTTCTGCGGAATGCCTTGGATTCCCTGCGGCTCCTCTCTTGCCTATAACCAACACCGCTATCTGATTGGACGCACATTATATCTTTCAACGTAATCTTTGAACTGATCCTTCATGGCATTATGTTCTATCCACTAACACTAAGTGCGATTGATGAAGAGAAATTTCTTAAGGCACTGTGTCTATTCACTGCAATATACACACCGCCATATTCTTATTACCCGGCCTTGTTACAACTGCATTTTTTTTTTCTTATGTTAAATTTAATTAAACTTTGTTGTGCAACTCAGGATGCACTATATATATATATATAAATACCTGTAATAATAATAAAGGTGTGTGCAAATAGTAAGAAAATGCCCCGGACAGCAAGTGGTTAATGCCTGTAATGTATAAATACTCCATCTGGTGTATAGCCAGATGGATGTTGTTCAGCACTAGTGCCCCTAGGTGGTGCTAACGAGCATAGGAATTTCATATACGCATCACCATCATCTAGGGGGCCAGTGCGTGAACAGCATCTGTCTGTTGGAGTTTTGATAAATGAAGCTCTGAATCTTTGCCATATCGATGGGCATCTGCCTATGCATTACAGGCTTTAAAACCAAACTATTAAATAGCCCATTAAAAGATTAAATAACAAAGCCAGCTTTGACTGCAATATTTACCTTCAA